ACCTTATGTTTAGTGTTATAATTTATGCACCTTATGTTTAGTGTTCTAATTTATGGATCTTATGTTTAGTGTTCTTATTTATGTATCTTATGTTTATTGTTCTTATTTATGCATCTGATGTTTAGTGTTCTAATTTATGTATCTTGTGTTTAGTGTTCTAATTTATGCACCTTATGTTTAGTGTTCTAATTTATGCATCTTGTGTTTAGTGTTCTAATTTATGTATCTTGCATTTAGTGTTCTAATTTATGCACCTTATGTTTAGTGTTCTAATTTATGCATCTTGTGTTTAGTGTTCTAATTTATGTATCTTGTGTTCAGTGTTCTAATTTATGCACCTTCTGTTTAGTGTTCTAATTTATGCATCTGATGTTTAGTGTTCTAATTTATGCACCTTATGTTTAGTGTTCTAATTTATGCATCTTGTGTTTAGTGTTCTAATTTATGTATCTTGTGTTTAGTGTTCTAATTTATGCACCTTATGTTTAGTGTTCTAATTTATGCATCTTGTGTTTAGTGTTCTAATTTATGCATCTGATGCTTAGTGTTCTAATTTATGCACCTTATGTTTAGTGTTCTAATTTATGTATCTTGTGTTTAGTGTTCTAATTTATGTATCTTGTGTTTAGTGTTCTAATTTATGCACCTTATGTTTAGTGTTCTAATTTATGCGTCTTGTGTTTAGTGTTCTAATGAATGTGTTCTAATTTATGCATCTTGTGTTTAGTGTTCTAATTTATGTATCTTTTGTTTAGTGTTCTAATTTATGTATCTTGTGTTTAGTGTTCTAATTTATGCATCTTGTGTTTAGTGTTCTACTACAGGTAGACCTCTCTCAGATTTGTTCATTTCGTGATGATTTTGTTCTTCAATTATCTAATTTAATAACCTAATCTAATATTGTTGATAACAAATTATATTTCCAATTTTTTTTTTAAAACAGCAAGTCTGATTGCTTTAATACTATACATATTGTTCATTTTCTGATGGTATCTTCAGTTCTTTTATTGAAATGTGCATTGATAACAGCTGACAGGCTTCTTGTTTAGAAAGTGTAATTATTGTGTTTGATACAAACCTTGCCAATATCTAATACTCCTTGTTGTACATTACTTTGTGCTTCCTCCACATTATCTACAATGCTGTCCACCTGCTCCTGCTGGTCCTGTAGAACGGACAATTATAAACAAGCATAAGTATGGAAGATACACATCCAGAGTAATATTATGAGGTTATTACAAGGATAGATACAGTAAGAATTTTTTTTTAAAGTCACAGCCATGGTTACTTTCTTTTTGTCCACAAAATTTCCCTTTGAAGCAATCTTGAAAATTCATAGTGTGACAATTAAAGAATTGGCATGCATAGGTAGAAAGCAATTGACTACAACACACATCTGATGTGATAGCAATCACTGCTAGCATAGTGGTTTTACTGTATTGTTGGTAAGTCAGTACTTACATGCACCATAGCTGAGAAATCATGTATCATGGTATTCAATTCAACTAAATTATCTTTTAAATTATCCCAAGATTCTTTGGCATTTGTCTGGTCCATGTGTAGTTGAACTTGTTTCTGTAATTGTTGTGGATCATGTGAATCTAATGACATTGGCATCTGATAATTCTCTCTATCATTGCCCCTGACATCTACAAAATTAAACAAAAAAGAACCTGCTCAATCTTTCAAACACAAACAACGAAAAAGACACATATAATTCCTTTCATATTTTTTCTCGAAATTTGGTCAAGACCTGTGAAAAATTACATTCAAAATTAGGAATTATTTTTAAAAAAATAATAAAGCTTCAAAATGTTTTGCCGACAGTGGGGCTGTAAAATGACAGTATGCAGATGGGCTGTGTAAAATGGAAATCTGGCTAAAGTGAAAACACTTTTTCAGTATTTAAATACATGTACTAGTATATAAAAGAGCACTTTAAAGGAAATAACAATATAAACAACATAATGACCTCTAAAGAAAAAGCTCAGCAAATGTAGAAGAATGCAATTTACAGTTTTTTTATATCACTTTTCATTCTCTAGATATTCAACTTCTCATCAGTATTATGTAGTCACCCATCTTGATTTTCAAGCAAAGGATTATGGGTAAAGTGTGACATCAAAGAATCAGTTGTCAGAAATTGAGAAAATGATTTCATCCAAAACTTCAAAAGTTGAACTTCAAATTGGCTGTAAGTTCAGAAATTGGTAGCATACATGTACTTGTTCTGGTGCCATCCATGTTTATAAAATGGTTGTCATGAAAACAGAACTGAAAATATTTATTTTTATGTTTTTCTACCAAATGCCCAAATTTCCTTATATTGTATACAATTTACCAATGTGAGTAGGTTATATATGTGATATATTACATGTTGACCACAAAAAGGGGACAAAAAAGTGTCATTCTATATTTCACGACTAAAATATCGATTTTTATTTTTTTAACGTTTTTAGCAATATCTTCACTTTATGTGTATTTGTAATATTCTAATTTCCATTACTATAATTATATACATGAGTAATATGCACAACAAAAATTTGAACTAATTCGCATCAGTATTTCTCATGTTACAGATGAAATCATTTCCTCAATTTCTGACAACAGATTCTATGATGTCATACTTTACCCATAATCCTTTGCTTGAGAAGCAAGATGGGTGACTACATAATACTGATGAAAATTTGAATATCTAGAGAATGAAAAGTTATATAAAAAAAACTGTAAATTGCATTCTCCTACATTTGTGGAACTTTTTCTTTAGAGGTCATTATGTTGTTTGCATTGATGTTTTCTTCAACTACGGTAAATACCACTATATTAAAATCAAACAAATTACTTTTAGCCTTTTAGCAGGGATAACAATTAAGGCATGTCCACTTGTCCCAGACAGGATTTTAGCTGGGACAGGTAAATGTACAAATTACCTGCCCCGTGGACAGGTGATTAAACATATCAAGTTTTGACTAACTGACCAAATTGAGTAGCCCTATATTGTTACTATCAAAGTTTTTAAGAAATGATGATAAACCAAAAATGTCAATTTTATTTGAAATAATTTATTTTGCCAAGGACAGGTAGATCATCATTTTAACTAGCCACTTTTATTTTACATCCTGTTCAACAGACAGGTAAATTTAATTTTTAA